CTCCTGGAGATGAACAGGTCAACCAAGAACACACAGCTGCTGAGCAACGAAGTTGGGGAGTCACTGGACTTTACAACCAAACTCCAAAATCCCCTCCAAAATTCATACCTGCACTTTCAAAGGTAAAGGAGCAATATTGTTAATGAGCCAGTAGCTGGAGAAACTGAGTAAGAAGCATTGGTTGTTTTGCAGCACAAGAGATGGATATGTTTTACAAGACAGAAAAAAAGAGAGCTGGAAGAAAGTCATAATCGGTAAAGCTCTCGATCCTTCTAGTCTACACAGTGTGGGAGCGGCTGCTAGAGTCAGATTCTTTCTTGCAAGTTTGACATGGGTCACAACTTTCACACCATCTGAATAAATCTTTATCATCGTTTAACAATCATTGCCAGACAGTAAAGAAGATATTTGCCTGTGTTGGTATGTGGTGTATGTGGACATGTACGAAGGGTGTGCAGACCACAGGAAGATGTCAGGGGTCCGGCTCCATCACACACTGCCTCATTCTCTTAAGCCAGGATTTCCAAATGAAACTGGAGCTTGGCTGGGACCAGCACACCTCAGGATCCTCCTGTCCTCCACCAAAATGGGCTTAGAGGCATGTGTGGACACAGCCAGCATTTTACTCCGGTCCTCGTGTCTGCGCAGCAAGTGATCTTACCTGCTGAGCAATCTCCTCGGCCCCATTTACCTATGGAAAGGGGACAGAACAGAAAAGGAGAAGGACACCAAGGAGCCATGGGAGATGATTCCATGACAGGCAAAGGTAAAACTAAGCTGGAAGATGTGAATGAAGAAGAGAACGAAAGAATGAAGATATGTACTTGTGTTTGAATGGAGCTACTGTCAGATCAACTACACAAAATCACAACACACATTTGGGAAGGCTAGTAGCTCAAATTCTATTAATCCTGCCTTTGTCTGTTGACTCCATAAGAATTGCTTGATTCAGGGTGTTCTATTCTGACAGATCACCAAAGACCAAGAGCAGACAACACTGGAAAGCCATAGCAAGAGGACCCAGGCCCTCTCCACAGGTGGCCTAAAGAAGTTCAATGTTAGGCTTATTAGTCGCGTCATTCCAGGGCCCACATTTCCGTGGTTTCAATCAATTTTCCTGTGATGCAAACAGGAATTCAAAAAAGTACGGCTAAGGTGGTAGGACAGCAGAACCTGGGAAGGGTGTGGAGAGGATGCATGCAAAGATGCAGTAACTGGAGAACCAGTAGGCAGTGAAGAGTTACAGAGAGTCTCCGGAAGTCAACACCGGGAAAAATCAACAGAAAAACCCACCCGGAAATCTAGATCTTCAGCCTTTGCAAGTGACCAACTTCCTCTGAAGTGATGAAGATATTTGCATTTCCTCATCCCCGTCATCAGTCAGATGCATGGGAGAGACAAAGGAGAAGTGTATGGTCCTGTGCAGACCTACCATGTGTCCAACTTTGGGCCGGGTTCTTGCCCTACACAACACCCTATGAGTATGGCCTCCTTGTTTCCACATCCCTCAGAAAGGAAGGCCTTGGAGTTTAAGTGGTTAGATCAGTGTGCAAGCTTCTATCTGAGCATGGAAGCCAGCTGAACAATCCATGAGGAGTCCTCCATGTCATGCATCTTTGCCACTGTGAATACATACTGCCCTGATTCCACTCTAATTCCTATGCTCTAAATTGTTTCCAAGTGTTTGCAGACTACTTTGCTTCAATTTGTCAGGTGTAAATTGCTTCAGAATAACAAATCCTGAATTCCACCGAGAAGCCTACAACTAGGCCAGTGATGTAGTTCCCAAGTCCTTACTGGATGTACCATCCATTTCTACCAAAATACCAGGACCTCTTGTCTATGAAAACCATTTTGTGTGTAAAGGTCACGGACACTGCTGGTGTAGTGCTGACAGAGCAGAGACTTATTGACTGTTACTCTAGGAGACTCTACAACAGTGGTTCTCAACCTTCCTAATGCTGTGACTCTTTAATACAGTTCCTCATGTTACGGTGACCCCCAACCATAACATTATTTTCGTTGCTACTTCATACTGTAATTTTGCTAGTTAAGAATCATACTGTAAATATCTGATATGTAGGAAATCTGATATGCAACCCCTGTGAAAAAGCCATTCAACCCCAGAAGGGCCATGACCCCCATGTTGAGAACCACTGCTCTATGATGCTACAAGGAAAACAACATGGGCTTGGTGGTTCCAAAGGCTCCCCAAGTTCATTATCACATCTTTGTTCCAAGCAAATATCTTTGCGTTTCTAACTTCTTCCCACTATACCTTTCTCTACCAGTGTGCATCATGTAACCAACCACCCATGTGGATGTCTCTGATGGGGTCACCTCCTCAGCTGATACCTGAACTTCTTCCCCAGCTGGGCATGTAAAGACAAAATTCCTAGCCACTTGCAACCTCTATTCTAGAAGAAACAAATCAAGCTAAGACTGCCAGAGCATAATCTTTTTATTCTTCATTCAAATTCTTCACAGACATATATTAATTACAGAGTAAGTCTCAACACATCTCTACATTCATTATACTCAACTTTATTTTTTCTTACTTCTGTATAGTGACATCTTGTATCTTCTTTGCTCTATGAATTCCATCAAAAATAGTCATTAAATTGCTTATTTGCAATAACTGGTATGTGAAATGTCTAATTTTAATTACTATATAGAATATTTATTGTTTACATGGCAATAAAAAATTGATGCTTCTGTTTAATGATATTGGTCACATGTTTCAAAGAATTCTTCTTATAGAAATCTGTTGAAAAACCATGAACACAAGCCAACCTCTCCAAACTGGTCACTTCTCAAATATCCTCATCTAAAATTACAAATAAGCCTAACACTGGGGTCTACTTATAACTTAAACCCAACTCTAATACTTTCCCCTCAACTGTGGGATTCTTGCTACTTACCCCAAAAATATGTGAGACAACCGTAAATGACTAAAAACTACATATCATAGGTAGATTTCAATGTTCCAAGAAAATACGAGCTATCAATAAATCTATGTTCTGTCACCAACTCAAGACCAAAAGTGATCACATTATTCTTATTAGCCACTAATTTGTTCAATGATCGTGGCAAATACCAAGTCTGTACCCATCCTGGACACATGTACCTCTGGCCCACTTTGAGACCACCAGCAATACTTTACCATTCGTCTCTAGCATCCAAAAACCAGCTGCACAAGGACAGGCAGGCATTGTCTTCAGGTGTCCTGGTGTCATTTCAGGCCACACAGTTGATGAATGAATGACAATATTGAATACAGAGGACACAGCCACTCATGAGCTGATGACCCCTCCCGCCACCCAGTACCTCCCAGTGCTCTCAGAGAGATGGCCACGCTGTCCTCTTACTTCTAAGCCCTGAGGATGCAGCTTCACTATTCAGTTCCTCATTTGCCCACCTGTCTGTCTCTCTGTGATCTTTCAAGTCTGAACCTCAACACCAACTCCCTAGATTCCCTGTGGGGTACCTCCATCCCTACCAGGACAGAACAACTTCAAGGATGTGGCACTAAAGGTGTGTGTTTGAAAGAAAGCACTTGGAGAATAAACACTGAGGAATGGGATTAATGAGTGACTTTAGACTGAATGGTAACAGAGGCGGTATTTATCTCCATCCCAAGGAATGATACTAATCAGTGTGTGAGACAAGTCAAATAAGCTTACAAACAATGATTTAAAAACCAATCAAGCAATACAGTGTTGAACCTTTCCATAAGTTACTGGCATTCATGGACCATTAACAGTGGGATATGCCTCCAAATAAAACTTCACCAATCAAGATTCTGTGATTAGGAAAGAGGCCTATGGTTAAATAAATGATTATTAATATCCTGAGAAATAATTTTACGATGATTACTGCTCTGACTACTTTTGTCATTAAAATAAAGAGGTTTCATTCTCTCAAAGGTTACATTTTTAACTTTGTAAAAATTCTGAATAAAAACAGGCAATAATAATTTCAATGAAGGGGGAAGATCCATGTGAGAAGATGTACGTACATACACTATCTAAATTATACATTTTCTTTTCCTTTGAGCCACATAATAAAAAGAAATATAGATTCTTATGGTTTTTATGAATTCATGTATTTTAATTTTATTAAACACATAGAATTTAACAGAAGCGCAAAGGAGGTAAGACACAAAATTTGCAAATTTGTTGTGATTGTGTGTGTGTGTGTGTGTGTGCGCGCGCGCGCACGCGCGCGCGCGCATGCATATGTAGGTGCTCATGAAGGCAGAGACTGTCAGATCGTTCTGGAAGTGGAGTTATAGCTAGTTGTGAGCCACCTGATGTGGGTGTGAGAAACTGGACTTGGGTCCTTAACAAAGTGAGTACACACTCTTCACTGGTGAGCCACCTCTCCAGCTCTGATCTGTCTTGATGAAAGTGAATCTGTTACCCATGCCAAACATGTGAGCCATCAGCTTCCCATAAGCCCGCTCTGATACTGTGGCTCCAAGCAGCTCAGAGTCAGGTCCACATCCATGTGATTAAAACAGTCCATGCATGTAAAACATGCACCTCCAACAAACTCAGCTCTGTCATTCTAAATAGGAGGGGAAACAGCACAAAACGTCCTGACTGCCCACCAGCTTACAGATTAAGCAGCACCCACAAACATCTCAGGAGAATGAAAATCACAACTCGAGCTCTCAATTCCTTTCCAGAGTGTGCAGAACTTTAATATTATGGACTGAGAAAACGGTTCCATCAGGAAAGCACAAACATGAAGACCTGAATTCCATCCCCAGGACCTACGTAAAAGAAGCCAGACAGGGGTTAGCAAGGCATCAAGGTGGCACAGTCAGGGAGCTTCTTGGTGCCAGGCTGATGACCTAGTTGTCATGTTGTGGGGTGTGTGTGTGTGTGTGTGTAACTGTGTGTGTTAGACAGACAGACACACACACATACACACTATAAATAAGTACATAAATAAAAATAGATAAATAAATAAAACGTTGTGTTTTCTTTTCTAAGCCAGGAAAGCTGTGCACACTCATGATTCTGGTGCTGAGAAGGCAGAGGCATGTGGATCCCTGTAGCTGGCTGACCGACCAGGTAAGCTTACCTACTAGGCAAGCTCCAGGCCCATGATAGATCTGCCCCAACAACTAAGATGGCAGGATCTGAACACCCACACTTGACTCCTGGTTCCCACACACATGGATATACACACCCCTTCCTACCCCCACATTGGATAGAATAAGTCACACAGCACAGCAGACATTATACTAGAAAGTGTAACAAAATCGGGAGCTGGGTGTGAGGTTCAGTGATAAAGCAAGTGTTCAGGATGTTTGAAAGCCCTGGTTTCAATGTCATCAAGAAAAAAAGAAAAAAGAAAAGAAAAGCTAAATATACTTGCCTACATAGCATCCTTAGTTAGCTATTTGTCTAATAGTTTGAAAAGGCAAAGCTTTTTCCCTCAGGTTCATTCAGGCTTGGCTGTATATTTTGAAAAATTATAATGGATATTCTTTTGGAAATATGTATAAAGCAATTTTTCCCTCTAATTTGGCTTTCCCCGCCTTTCCATTAGAAAAAGTCTATTCACATTTTTTTCCTTCAAAATAGGAAAAAAAAAATCACTCCTATTTAGGACACACATACAATGTTAAACTGTGAATGAATATGTAATTAATGTCTGCCAGTTCACATCACCACAGAAGCAAACCTGTAGGACCAATAGGTTAAATCTATTAATTTGATGAGGCATTAATATAAAAATATCTATCAATTCAGCTTCCATTTGCCCCAGTGGAAGTATACATAATTTTAGCATATTAAATATCATGCATTTTGCCAAAAAAGTTATTAATTTATGGGGTAAAAATATCTTGATGGTAAATAATTAGGTGCTAAGTAGGTGATGAATCACTTTTACTAAGCGAGAAAGAAATAGGAGGAGCTAAAAATAAGTCCTTACATGAACAGTTTGGAAACTAAAATGGAAATGCTTTGAAGTGGTATGTAGGTCAGAGATCCACACGGAAATTGTGACCCCTGAACTCACACTATGCAGGTGGAGCCCAGGCATCTTCATCATATGACTGACAGACTAAAGTCAGATGCACAACACAGTTGAAGAGTGGTAGGCTGTGGTTCCTGTTCCCTTAGGGATTGTCACTCATCAGACAGAACTGTGTACACGATATTAGGAAATAGTGAGACAACGTGATACCGAAGTAAACAGAGGTCACAATCAACTGATGCGTCCTTCTCATGTTCTCTGATCAACTCTTGCTCCATCTTTCATTAGTCACAAAGCAAAGCACTTGCAGGTGGGGAACTTCAAAGGCCTTGAAACTATGCCTGTGTTTTATAGCCTACCATCCCATAATCCAGCACACAGCCTGTCCCTACCAGGTATCCATCACTAAACATTGACTAACTGGTGAGTCAGCAAACGCCTTAGAAACAGTAAGACTTAACAGGCTGGGCACAGGGGAGTAACTAAACGAGAAGGCTGAACTTCACGCAGTGGGGGACAAGATGTCTTGGTGATTCAAGGAGCATACATGGAAAGTTTTTTAAGCTATGCCTACCTAACTTCCTTTACAGACAATTGTTAAGGACACAAAGACTAATGAAAACAACATAAAAGCAAACCAAAAGCATTCATGTAAAAGTCCACTCCCTGGCTCCAATCCTTCCCGGGGTTCCTCTTCTTTCTTCTCCCTTCTTGAGGTTTGCCGGCGTCCACTGCCAAGCCTCAGGGCCTATTCGTTTTCTTTTTGTCCCCCCTGCTCACCTGCTTTGGCCTGACTCTGACTTCTTTTGCGTTTCTTCTTTCTCCCTTGGGAAATTGATGTGCATTTGTAGCATCTGTCCTCCACCTTCCTTTGTGAATACTGAGGTGAAAACAATTTATTCATGTTTCAGCAGTGCCCTTATCGCTTGTCCATATGAGAGCCGTCCTGTGTCTCAGGCTGAGAAACCATTTTTGGACCTCCTGTCATCTAGGAGCTTGAGGAGATAGCTCATCACTCTTTATCGTGAGCTCGTGAGTGACTGTTCTCTTCCTCTCTTGTACTTTTGGGGTTCTTTCTTCCATATTTTTAACAACTTCCCATAATGCTGCTGCTCTCCTTCTCCACAGCACTTGGTGTCAGCTGGGTCTTCTTCTTAACAAACAGTTGCTCTGTGCACATCAGTCTCTAATCCTGTCGATAGTTGGATTTTCCTCATGGTGGATTTTAGCCTTACACAGACCAGCTTTCAAATATATGGTTGTGGAATCTGATTCTGATATATTCCTCCATTCCTGCCCTGGATCCTCCCTCCACCCACCTCCCATTTTACTCCCCTCATTATGTACTGGAGCCCCTCATCCATCAGGATTGTTAGATTTTGCTTGAAGAGATAAAAAAAAAGGCTGGAGTCCGGCCTACCTACTTTACACTTTTCAGTGTTTCAATCAATGGTTCATATATTATTTGTCACAAATAGCATAATTTGATGGTGAAATCCAGTGTAACACCCCACAGGTCCAAAGTCGTGAATGCATCCGAATTTCCATAACCAAATCAAGCTGCCTGCACCTCCTTCTTTCTCTCGTCTCATTTGACCACTCGCTTGCTAAAGGCCCTAGTTGGATTTTCATCATGCTCTTAAAATATTCTCACATTCTACACTTCCAATCATATCCTTTGTTTCAGACAGAACTTAATCAAGAGGGGTTTTGTGCAAGTTTCCACTTGTACATGATGATAAATAGCTTAAGCTACGTTCAGCACATTCCCAATCATTAGTTTTCTTTCTTCCCCATATACAGATAAATCACATGCTATCTACACCATTATTTCCTGAGACTATGTCCATATTCTAGTGGTCTTTTCTACCTGGTGGGCAGAATTTAACTCCTTTCCAACTGTAAATTTTATAACAGTTTATCATTAGGCAGTAAGTGCTTATACCTACAGTGTGAAATGGTATCCTTATCACATACATTTAAAATTTAAGGAATGGAAATTGAGCAGCTACATTCTAAATGCCAAGAAATACCTCTACTTTCAGAACGGTGATAATGGGCATCCCCCAAAACACAGTAAATGGCAGTGGTCTGTATATCAAAAATAAAATGATTTCTCTAACTCAAACATTATAAAATGGAATGACTCAAAGAAGCTGACAGATAGCATTAAACAAAAATATGAAGAAAGGATGGTGCTGCCATAATGGAGAATGGACTAAGAAGGGAGCCAGACAGCAAAATAAAGTAATAGGTCAATGCAAGGGGCCATGCCATCCTGAGCACTGGTAAAATCACGGTGATCTGTTCTCACATACTAATTGGCAAATGCTTTGAAGCACCGCATTTATCTAGATTTTCTTACAACACTAATGCTCTTCCACCAACACACCTTAGCAGGCAATGCATTTACAAAACTCTAACAGGCTGAAAGGAATTAACAATGAACAGTGTGCAAAAGAGTCAATTACCGGCTGAAATTTTAAACAAGCACTTACAATGAAGATGTTATTAAAAAAAAAAAAAAACTATCTTGGCTAGTGGGTCATTTTCCAGGCTACTAACTGCTAAACCATGTGCAAAACATGCTTCCAATTTAACTATCCAGATTTTCGGAAAGAAAAGTCGGAGAGTGCTGCTCCCCAGGCAGATTCAAGTTGGTGTTCAAATTGATTTTTGAAACAAGGCAGATCTATAGAAAATTTGGTAAGCTTTTTGGTTCTTTTTGTTTGTTCGTTTTTTGTTTTGTTTTGCTTTTTTGTTTGGCTATAGATTATTAGTAAAAGGAAGAAGTAGGTTTTATTTTTAAGATTCTAATTTGTGCATACACGAAAGTGAAAAAGAAAAAAAAACAAAACAAAACAAAACACCCAAACCCCCTACTTCGTTCTGGGAAAAGGTAGTCGTTGCATAAATCCTCCAGCCTGTCAGTCTCTGAGGCTTACTGGCTACATGTCTCAGTTCTGAGACACAGCGTCAGCCATGGGTGCCAAGGCAAAAAATAGCATGGAAGTCAGGATGATTTTTCAAAAGCTCCGCAGAAGAGGAGAAAAGCTTCCTAACTAATAAAGCATCTCTCATGTCTTGCAAATAATTGGATAACATGAAACCTGAACTCTCAGAACTGCTAGCTTTGATGGCACTAGATCAAAACCCTTACACAAGAAAACAACCGGTTTAAAAAAAAAATGCCAGGTGTATTGAAGGACTTTTGTGTTCTCACCAATGTGCCAAGAAGTTTATCCAAATACAAATGAACACAGGAAGGTCTGGATGAATCGCCTTAGAAATCGAGACTGGAGCCCAGCCAGAGTTCCACTCCATGGTACGATGAGTCAGGAAGATTTTCTTTTTCATGTCCTAATCATATTTCTACACATAAGCAAAGAGCAGTTTGTCCAGTAGGGCATCTAATTGTACAAACTATATGCTGCTGTCCCCAGTAACTGTCACCACTGTGACATTTATTATGAAAATAATTTTAGTTGACTTAACCTTAGCTGAGATAAGCCCAAGCCCTGTACAGGGTCCCACTGCTTAGTTACAACAGGTTGTTAGATACTGACCCACAGCCTCCTTCCGGGTGTGCCTAGATGCCTCTCACAATTCCCCCGGGAGACCACACATCACTCTCTGAGAATCGTGTCTGATACAGAACGATGGTGTGAAAAATCTGGGAGTCTAATTTTCATGGTCTTAGTATATAACAACATCCCTTGGTAAGGAAACAGTCTATTGTTAACATGAACCCAATTTTCATAGAAACTGTCATTTATCATTGGGCTTGCTTTGTACATTTCTGTCTTAAACCCAGACAGAGGTAAAGGGACACCTAGAACTTGTCCATGTGACATTAAGGCTTTGTGTTTACTCTTGTTTTTAGTTTCTTATTTTTTTTCCCATGAGATCCAACAAGGCAGTCAGTTAATAATTAGGGTGTCACTGAAAACTTCACTCATGTTTTATCTCCTGCCTGCTAAATGTATTGAATTATAGAACACTCTCTGTTCCTTCCTTGAAGTGAAAGACCTATCTGTTTTAGGTTGGTAAATTATCTCTAATCATAGAAAGAGCTCTCATAGCTTCCCACAGCTCCTGCAATAGCAACACTATACTGTGTGGCCCTTATGACCCAGGCCTTCCTCTGCACATCGAACATGCATTACTTTACTTATTTCACCCCAAACAGTGGATTTTATAATTATCTTCACCATATCCATACGAGAAACATGTGACAGGAAAAGCAACCTTAACCAGCTAGTAAATCAGCTAAGCTTACCAGCAAGGATTACCAAAGAGGTTCAACATCGAGGAAATGGAATTAAACCAAAGAACACTCACTGGTAGGCATCATGCCATCTGCTTGCCAGGGCAACAGAGGCAGAGAATGGAAATGTGCCATATTTGTGGACAAAAACCAAAAGAAGTCAGATAAGGATAAATGCAAAGTCCCATCCCACACGCGTACACAGAAGCCCTAGTTGTAGAGTAATGAGTGAAGAGAAAAACAAAAACCAAAACCCAAATCATTTCAATCAACCATCAGTCAACTGTCAATCAGGAATATTAGTCCTAGAGTCACCATTTTCAGAGAGAAAGAGTAACTAGAACATATGCAGAGGGCAGTGACTGGGAGTCTAGTTAGCATTTCTACTGCTGTGACAAACTCCACGACCAAAAGCAACTTGGGGAAGGAAGGGCTTATTCAGCTTACAGCTTATAAGACCATTTCTGAGCGAAGCCAGGGCAAGAGCGTGGAGGCAAGAACTGGAGAACAGAGCATGGAGGAGGGGCTGCTTATGGGCTTGCTCCTCGTGACCTTTTCAGCCTGCTTTCTTAGACCATCCAGGACCATCTGCCCAAAGGTGGCAGAGCCCACTATGAACTGGGCACGCCCACATCAATTATCAATCAAAACTAAGATGTGCCACAGCCTTGCCTCCAGGCCATTCTGGTGAGAGTACTTGCTTCATGGAGGTTCCTTCTTCCCAAATGACTCTAGCTTGTGTCAAGGTGACATAAAACCAGCACAGCACACCAGGGAAAAGTGCAAGATGTGGCTGAACCATGTTCTGTAATGGAGTAAATATTTCCCAATCACATTTTTGAAGGAAACTAGAATTTTAGTCCTCAAAAAATGAACAGAAAGAGAGATTAGTAGCTGTGGAATTAAGAGCTTTCTCTAATCAGAGATGTGTTGATGGGATGAACTGCCATGTAAGCCCTAATGTAAGGACTACCCAGGCAGGGGATTTAGTGTCTTCTCCTCTATCCATCATTCATTCACTCATAACCACGTTAGTCACAGTGTCACCCATGTGCCACCACTGGGCCACCACTTCACCTAAGCATGACTCTGTGTTGGAAGGGAAAAGTATATAAGGAATCACAAATACAAAGAGAGGTGTCAGCTCTTTTCTTTTTTTTAAGAACTTATCATGATTTCCAAAGATGATGAGTAAATTTAACCCTTAGAATAAGAGTTCCAGAGAGATCTCTCAGGGGTGGGGATGGTGGAAGTAAGGAGAAGGTACAGAGGAGATAAGAAGCAAGGAGGTCAGGGGGTAGGGAAGGAGGAGGGAAGGGGAGAGGAAGGGAAGGAGACATTGAAGAAGAGGTAGGGAGAAGGAAGGAGGCGGCATGAGAAGGAAGGAGGAGGTAAGGAAACAGAGGGAAAAGTAGTAAAAAACATTATGCTAATGATGAGTGATTAAATACAAGACTGAAAGTGATCACTGATTAAGCAAGAATTAACTAGTTTACTTAAAGATGGCATGTTTGTAGGGGGAATAAAGGTTTATAAGATAGACGATTTACTTTTTTCAATTTAAAGTCTGTAGAAAACCAAATGATTAATCAGAAAATATGCTTGCCTGGCTCTAGCTGGGTAATTTAGCTATCCCTGTTATTTTGCTGCTAAGTATGGGATGCTGCTTGCCAGCTCCGTAGTCCTGACCCAGAACCACAAATCTGTCTTCCCACAAACATCTAAAAAAATCATTACGTCTAAAACTGGACTTACCAACATTAATCCCCCATAACAGATCTGCATTTTGGATAATGTGATGAGTAACACTATCACCCAACAGGGAACCCAAGCAAGACAGACCACCAAGAAGCCAAGATGACCTCTCCCCTATCCATCAGTTCCCAAGTCCCACCATTTCCAACAGCTGCATAGTGCTCCAATCCATCCTGTCACTGTCCCTGATTTCAGTTCCATCTTTCGTCACCTGCTCTAGTCACTGCCCAGTTAATCTCACAACCCTCAC